TGTGATGAGAGTGATTGGGATGGTAGTGGCTGCAACAGCCCCATTATAAGGTTATATTTTTAGATCTGGAAAGGACCTTAGAAGTCATCTGGTCTGACCCACTCATTCTACAGAGGTAAAATGATTTGTTCAAGGTCACAAAGTACATGGCAGTGTTGGGATTCAGAAGCAGGCACATTGACTCCAAATCAAATAATCTTTCCAGTGTATCATCTGAGATGAACTGGCTAGCTAAGCATATAGCAGCAGCCAGAGAGAATGTGGAGGAAAGGAAAAAAGATGCCCCAGTGGCCACAACAAAGGGAAGGAAAGAAGAATTCCCAGAAGCAGCATCTTGGAGAAAGGAAAGTGAAGGGGAATCAATGGTAGGAAGGTGAACCCTTGGACAAGACAGCTATTAGTATATGTGTGTTTGAAACTTGAGACTGGCCATATTTCATTTTCAAGAAAAAGGCAGTAAAACTTGAATTGAAGATGCTGTGTGTATGTGGTATTGAGCCCTTGTTTTTTTCATATATGTAATAGATTTTGTTTTGAAGGCACTAAGCTTAATTACTGCATTTCCCATACAATCTTATGATTTTAAGCAGTTGGCGAATTATTATTGAGTCATAGGTTTTTTTTTTTAAAGCAGTAATAAGATGCCCCTTTCCTTTATATCCTAGGTCTCTGGGTTGCGTTTTCTGACAAATGCTAAAGAGGAGGTGGTGAAAATCCTTGAAAGTTCTCTTTGAAGGTAGACTAGCAGTATCTGGTGCTTATTGGTTCTTACTCACTTGAGGCCAAGCTGCCGCTTTATGTTAAAAGAGTACACTGTTCTCTTTCTTATACCTTCTTTTAATTTCTGTAATTCTTTTGCTATATATACCGCAAGATGTATGTCACTTCCTTGGGAATAAGAAGCTTGCTAAGGAAAAAAAATGGTTTGAAGTTTTAGAAGAAGGATTTCTGGTAAATTAAAGTCATGAGGTTCTTTAGATATTCTTCAGTTCCTCTCCAGCCTTTTTATAATTTATGTTGATTAGGGCAAGATGTGGGGTGAGGGGATAAGTTGATTTATCTGTGATACTATCAGTTAGCTCAAGCTACTTTACCAGGACAAGGATGAAGACCTTAATTTAATTATCTTAAAATTATTACAATAACTCATCTGTTTGAATCTTAGCTCTGTGGTCAATTTACCTGCATAGATCTAGCACAATTGTCTTGGAATCGGGAGGGGCCTAATTTCAAACCTTGCCTTTTACATATCCCAGCTGTGTGAACTGAGGCAAGTCATACAACTTTGTTGGCCCTCAGTTTCCTTATCTGTAAAATAAAGATAAACACTTAGTACTTACCTCAGAGACTATTTTGAGTATCAGTTGAGATAATATATGAAGAGTGGCTTGAAAATCTTAAAAAACTTTATAAATGCCAATTATTTTCAGTATAGTTGTTTTTACCAAGAACACAGCTCAAAACCAGAAGTTAAGAAAAGGCCTGTGAGAACAAAAACTATTGTCACAAAGTCCATACACTAACACTTTACTCATAGAAGCCCTCACTCAGAGCCTTTTTATTATTATTTGACAAAAAAAAGAATGTGGTTAATTTCCAAACCAATAGCATGTTAAAAATGGGGAAAGGGACTGCTAGTGGCAGGTATAACAATAATAGCAAGAGTTGCTATTTGACAGTCAGGGAGGAGACAGAAAAACTCCAAAAAGCAGACACAAGAACTTGAAGTGGGCATTAGTCTGAGGCCATTTAGCCCTGTGTAACTCAGAAGGTGCTGAAGGTGTCATAGCACAACTGATGATCTTTAACTATCAAGAAAAGGGTGAAATGACAAAGAAATATGTCATATCTATTAGAAGAATTTCTGTCCAAAATAGTTTAAGTTAGAAATAGGTTTGAGTTTGGAAAACTTAGCTATCTAGAAGGACTAATTGCCAAACAGTTCCATTTAATTGGAGTTTTACTGTAATAGTGTTATAAAATTAGGGGAGAAATCAGATTTTATATTCTAGCATATAACAACATTATGGGTTTCTTTACTTTGAACTTCTATCAACTGTTGTCATTTGTAGAACATTTTTATCTGAATTGATCATCTTATCAGATACTTCCATTCCGTTCTTCCCCTAAGAAGCCTCCCTTTAGAAGATACTTGTAAAGGCTAGATTTAGCTTTAAAACATCTTGTCCTCCCAGATCATTCACTTACTTTCTGTCATTTTCACAATGGCCTTATCCACTGACTCCTTCCCCTCACCCACAAAGCATGGCAGCTCACTCCCATCCTTTAAACGAACAAGCCTCTCTACCTTGCCATCACTTCAAGCTGTTTTCCTCTGTCTTTTCTTCCTTTTCCTTAATGTGAAGTTTTGTCTATTTCCTTTGAAATCTCTAACCTGATTGGCTTTCTGTACTTCTTGTGAAAATAGTGTAACACAGAAAACCTCTGATGTGGATAGATGTTAGGTTGGTCCCAGAACAGCAATTTATAATGGGCTTCTGTAGTGCTCTAATTACGAAACTAGGAAATTGAATCTCCTTATTTTATTTAAAAATGAAAAAATAAAACAGGGTGAAATTCTTTTCAGCTAAATAACTTTTGGTAGGTTCTTTGAATAGGCCAAGTCTTAGAAAAGCAATTTAGCTGCCATGAGAAGGGGTTTGTTGGATCTTTTGGTTTCTTTTTTAAATATTTTTAGCTTAAAACTGTTTATATATTGGCAATATTCACTAGATTTTTTACCCTGAGCAATTTCAGTTGCCTTCTTGCAAAACATTTTAGGGATTTTCTTGCCCCTCCTCACCCATAGCATTCCCCAAAGCCAAGTTTCTTAAGAGAGTTCAGACGTCAGTGCACTGGCCGGTCAGGGGTCTGGCTATGCTGGCATCCTGCCCCCACATCCACCCCCTCCTCACTGGCTGGTTTTGACTATGGAATATGAACATCCAAAACTCGACTTTGGTTAGTTAAGAAGATTCAGTTGGACTTTACTAATGAAGGGTCAATTCTACATTATCCTTTCCTGTATTGTTTTGTTTTTTTTTATATTCCCTCCTTGCCTTTTTTTTTTTTTTAAACCAGACCTGTGATTTTATTGGTAGAAAGACCTACCCTACCAATTGTAGGTCGTGGATTGTCCTCCAAGTCTGGAATGCCTTCCATCCTCTGCTCTGCCTACAGGCTTCCTTTAAGTGCCAATTAAAATACATTCTTTCGCTGGAAGCCTTCCTCAACCCCTCTTAATTCCAGAACTAAGTTTATTTTCATTTTTATTTAGACTTCATCCCTAACACCATTTGATAACACAGTGACATAATAGGCACACAATTTTTCAAATGCATGGTGTTTCATAAGTAGTTTCAAGTAGAGTATCATTATTTGGTAGTATATTTAAAGATTGACACTAGGATTATTCAGTTTTTATGTGTTATGTAATACCATAATATTTGTTTAGTCATGTGTTGGTAAGAAATTCAAATGTAGTTTGTTTTTCTTCTGTCAGTTCCTTCCTAGTCAGATCTACCTTTTAATGGGAGAAAGCATCAATACGGAGGCCTTCCATAAATTTCCAGGGTTTAACCTTTAATTACAATTTAATGGCATTTATGTTGAAAGCACTGACCTTCCCTCTGTTGATTACTTCCTATTTATCCTGTATATAGCTTACTTTGTATGTATTTGCTAGTCCTTTCCCCCATTAGATTGTAAGCTCTTTGAGGGCAGGAACTGTCTTTTGACTCTTTTTGTGTCTCCAGTGCTTAGCACAGTGCCCGGCAGAATAGGAATTTAGTAAATTTTTATTGTTTGACTAATGATTAACTTCTGCTCTCCTTTCACTGCCTTTGTGACTTATCACCTCTTTTAAGACAATCTTTCCTTCTTTTTTGGAGAGGAGGGACAATTGGGATTAAGTGACTTGCCCAGGGTCACACTGCTAGTAAGTTTCTGAGGCCAAATTTGAACTCAGGTCCCCCTGATTCCAGGGCTGGTGCTCTATCAACTATGCCACCTAGCTGCCCCCCAAACAATCTTTCAATAGTAGTAGCTTAAAACCTATGTAGAGCTTTTATAAGATACTGTACATTTACTATCTCCCTGACCCTTCTCAGCGCATTATCTTTATTTTACATAGAGCGAGCTCATAGAGGTTATGAATTGACCAGGATTACATATCAGTAAGTGGTAGGTTATGAACTCAAACCTAGGCTTTTTGACTCAGAACCCAAGATATGAAAGAATGGGGTAGATGAAGAGGTATCCACAAACTGCTCCTCTCTTCTTGCCCTGTCTATGAATGTCTGAGGCTGAATTTGAACTCTTCATGACTATAGGCCCAGGACTTATCAGTTGTACCTATTAACCTAACCAATTTGGAGATAGTTGGGTGGGGGCTGAGTTGAATATTGCTTTTGTTGTTCAGTCATTTTCAGTTGTGTCTGATTCTTTATTAATCCATTTGAGGTTTTCTTGGCAAAGATACTGGAATGGTTTGCCAATTCCTTTTCCAGCTCATTTTACAGATGAGGAAACTGAGGCAAACAGGGTTAAGTGACTTGCCCAGGGTCGCACAGCTAGTTAGTGTCAGAGGCCAGATTTGAACTCTGGAAGATGAGTTTTCCTGACTCCAGGCTTTATCCACTGTGTTGCCCAGCTGCCTAAATTGGAGATTCTAGCCTAGCTCAGAGCTCAGAGCCTAGTATTCTGAGTTCATAGTCCCAGCCATCACTATTTCACACTTACCCTAGTCACTTGCCTGGAGGTCAGATTTGTGATTTTGGGCTAGAACAATGACCCTCTGTAGTTTCTCCTTCAATTTTCTGATTTTTACTTAGGCATTCTTTTAAATACCTATTAGATAAAATAACATTTCAAATGCATCAAATTTGTTAAAGATTTTAAAAATTCCTTTGGTAAACCTGGAATTTGAGTTAAAGAATAATAACACATGCATTATATAATGAGCATTATATTAATAATCTTGTTTCAATGTTTTCTTTCAGATACAGATGAATATAGACCTCCTGTATGGAAATCTTACTGTAAGTATGAAAACAAAAACGCAAACATATTGGCTATACAAAATATGTTACTATAACAAATACAGAAGAAGCAGCAAATATAAAATCATTAGTCTGAGAATTTTTGAATTTTGACTCATTCATTGCACAAGTACATAGAAGGATGGTTTAAGTTTTTATGGTAGTCATGATTATGATGGCACACAGCCATCTCTGCAGGGTTTATTAATGGTCTGCATTTTTGGAAAGCTTAGAGTTCTGCAGTGGTCATATATGCATCACATGTGCGCAGAACTAGATTTCCTGGGATTGGAGCTGGGTGATTCAGAACTCCAGATGGATTTGGTAGAGGAAAAGGGAAACTAAGAATTCAATCATTCATATTAGTTTCTTTAAAAATTTTTTTTAATTTGATTTTTTATTTGTGGAATAAAACAAGCATTTCCATAATATAGTATAATTAAAAAAAGATGATTTCACATGAAACTGCACATCTGTTATGTACAACTTGCTATTCCTTTGAAATATATAATAAAGTTATGTAATTTCTTCTTTTTCCCTTTTTTTTCTTCTCTCCCCCCATCCTAGAGATGGCTACCATTAGACACCAATATGTATGTATGTATGTGTATATATATATGTATATATGTACATATATATGTATAGATACATATAGATATATACATAAAATCATTCTATACATACTTCTATTTATCTTTGGATACAGATAGCATCTTCCTTCATATGTCCTTTATAGTTGATTTCAATTCCTATTTTCTTTGCATGGAAGGTGGACACGTACTTCAGAAAGCGACCAAGATAGGAAGAAAAGGAGCAATGATTCAAAAGGAAAAGCACATTTCATTTAGGAATAACTTTTCCACCAGAGCGTGGACAGAGGCATATTGAGTGCTGCATACCTCATACCTTTTTCCATCTTGCATATTTTTTTAATACATATGGAATCCTCTATCCCAGAATTTATTATCCACATCCCTAGAGTTATGATGATATGTTTTGTTTGGTCTGAACCTATGGTTTTATTGGTTTGGAGAACTCCTAATGAAGAAGTCCCATCTTTGCAGATCAGCAGATGTTTTGCAACTTGTAGTCTTAGAGAGTTGCCTGGGGCCCTCAGAAGGTCAATGACTTGCCTTCTGGGGTAAGTGGTGAGTCAAGTTTTCCTAAGTAGGAAGCTGACTCTCTAGCCATTCTGCCACGTTGACTTTCTAGGAGGTTGTTCAGAGAAGTAAAAGTTATCATCACACAATGAACTGACCAGCTAGAAAACTGGTCCCCGCTCAGCCATCCCTTCCTAATTAATACAAACATCTCTCCCCACTGAATCAGCTGACATTATTGGTCTATTCAAAGGATTGAGAGAGGACCATGGGGAAATTGATGAGAACCTTGAATATGTGCTTCAAAAATAAAATGTGTAACAAAAGATGTCATATCATGTTATCATACAATTTTGGTAGAAAAATTGCTCCCCCAAACCAGTAAGCACTTGACACTTTCTTTACTCATTCTAAGAATTAGTACACAAATACTACTATAACCTAAGTTTTATTAAATATAAGATAAAATAGATTTTCATATTTTAGTTTCATTTATAAAATATTTTTTCAACACTTACTATAAAATATTGCTTTCTATTTTAAGTGGATTCACTTTAAGTGGACTTTTTCTACTTATTCTATTTCTATTTATTTTCTATTTTTTTTCTATTTTGATAATGAGGACTACCTGTATTTTTGAGGGAATTTCCTACAAAAAATGACTACTAGGATAACAAGTTATTTTCATTTCTCTTCTCCGACTACTAAAGTCTAGTCTCTCACCATTTAGCAGAAACTTAGATTTTTTTCTCCCCAGGTACTAGTAATCTCTAAGGTCACTTCCACCTCTGAATCTTAGAAATCTACTGGTCCCAAGATGCCAATAGTTTAAAAGAATCAAAGGAGAAAAAAATAAAAGCTAGTCTCCATTACTTACAAATTTGAGAGCAACGATACTTTGAATTTGGAGATCTTAGAAGGAGTTAGAATTCAAACAAAAACCACTTTGAGTAACTGAAAGAAGAAATTGGTATTTCATTTACTTATTTTTTTTAGAAGCTGATATTTTCAATAGAACCTTTTAACATCTTTATAAATGTAAAGAGTTTGTTTCAGTTACCTAATATTCCGAAGTTTCTGAAGACTAGACTAAAAGAGGAGCTAAATTTTGCTTCTCACATTATGGTGGCTATATGGTCCCCAAACACTTGTAGGTAGATATATAGTTTTCCATTTTAAGCTCATTATAGCAAATAAAATACAAACAGCCCATAAAATTGCCATAGGTGCTTTTTCATTTGCTACTACCTTTCCATCTCTGGAGTATGTAGTTCAAAGGGTACCTGGGGTGACTAATGTACTCTAAGCATTTTTTGTCTCATAATACCACTGACTGGAAGCCTAATTAACATTATTCTAGGCACTCACAGTTTTTAAGTCACCATTTTTCTTTTCTTTTTTTTTTCTGTGTGGTGACCAGTTTTCTTCTTATTACTGAAGGCAAAGCTATTTATTCAGCCAGTAGAGCTGTTTTATGACTTTTGTTGAAATGTGGTGTGCTTTCTCCCCATAAGGCTGTTGATTGGTGCCCATAGCAGGTGCGATTTTTTTGTTTTCATTATCTTAAAAAACCAACAAACTCAAAACCTTATAGTTACCATTTTTAAGGAAAACAGTATTTCCAAATATGGATGGCAGTTCTGTTGCACTGTATAGTTACTCATAGCTTTAATGGCCTGAACCTAGTACCATGGCGATAGCTGAATTAGGATAAAATTAAGAGCCTGAGGTCTGTTACATCTATCAAGTACGAAAATCTTTCCTTTTAGAAACCATCATGATTAAACTCTAGTTATTAAGTTTATGTGGAAAGGCCTATTTTAAATTAAGCTTTTTCCTTCCTAACATCTACAACATTAGAGCTTACATGGCACCAATAGGGGATTGACTTACCACCTGTGAGACAAGGCAGTGGGTTCATCTGAACCACTAAGTCAGGGTGTTATCTGAATTGCCCAGTAGAAATCAGGAATGAGGGGCAGGGATTCAGGAAATTTAGCTCGTAATTACTGTAGCAAGCAAGCAGTTGGGGAACAGGGTAACGCCCAGTCTCTGGGTCAGTTAAACCTTGGTGTATAGGCATTCTGGAATCTTGGGCTGTGCCATTTAATTTGGTTATCACTGCCTTACATTTCTAAAAAGATAAAGCAAGAATCAAAATATAAAAATATCCCCCTAAACTGAAATACACTATCATTTTGGTCCCTGTGGAGAATAGGCTCAAATTTAAAGTGGTTACTGCCAAATGATCACCCCATCCTTCTCTTGCAGGTGGGTGTAAACACTTGACCAATTGCTTGCTTGCCTACAGGACATGCCTAGTGTCTTGGCCGCTGGGTAGATTTATTGCTGGTGCGGGCTGTGTAAGTCACTCCCTGGGGGATGCACTGGCTCCTCTCATCTGTCTTGGCTCTAGCAGTCAGCAGTCTATGCCATGGACTACTGTCACTGGACTTCTGATGGCTCCTCTCACCTTTCAGAGCTCACTAGGTCTCAACCTGGTTTATTCCATTCTTATATTCATCCGTCTAAGAGCAAAAATGGGTAAATGCGGGTGCTACTTCTCATCCCTGCCCAGAAGCTTAGAGCAGTTTCTTGCCTCAGCTAACACCAGAGAGAGAAAAAAAATTTTTGATTTGGTTTGTTCATACCTTTTGCACGCACCCCCTTTTCTGACTCAGTGGCCAATTAAAAGACTTTTCTTCAGCATGAAATAAGTGGACAGGAAACTGTCATAGAATACCTGTGTATACCGTGAACTGGGGGCAGGGTCCTTCCATTATACATTATCACGTACTTTCTAGAAGCAGGCTCATTAGCCCTCCACACAGATTGGGAGCAGTTAGAGTCCTTAACTCATGCTCTGAGGAATGGATCCCCATTGGCTAGCTCCTCCCTCCCATTATAGAAAAAAAAAGTGTGTTGAGTTCTAAGCCAAATCTAACCTCCAAAACTTGCTCTCTGTGTGACCCTCGGTAAGTCACTTAACCTCTGTGTGCCTCAGTTTCCTCAACTATTAAATAGGTATAATAATAGCATCTACTTCCCAGGATTCTTGTGGGGATCAAATGAGATGTGATTCATAAAGTGTTTAGCACAATGCCTGGCACATAGTAGGCACTTAATAAGCCCTTCCTTCTTTCCTTCCTACCTTCCTTCCTTCCTTGCTTCCTTCCTTCCTTCCTTCCTTCCTTCCTTCCTTCTTCCCTCAGTGTAATATTTTGATTTTAGATCATTTGAAAGGCACAGTATGACTTTAAGTAAATTCCACTAGGCATGCCTTTTTAAAAAATCTAGTTTAATGGAACTTTTAAAATAATATGAGGTAAAATCTCTCTAATTTAGGCCAGTAAAAGTCAGTCTCTGAAGTAGTGTGACAAATTAAAGAGTAAAATACAACTGTGTTATGTGTAAATACACAGTAACTTGAACAAGATAAGCAAAATTTTTCTTGTAAGATCTTTGGTAGTTTTTTAATAGGAATATTTAAAATAAATGTGTATGTTTATCCATGTATATCCAATCAAGATCAAGGCGCACAAAAGGGTTGAAAAGGAGGTAGGTTTCTCACATACCTTCTCAACAACATCAACAAAATGGAAACATCCAAAGATAAGAAAAGGGGCTAAAAAAGCACATGAAAAAATGAATTCACCCAAAATAGAAAATATGCAAAGTGATGAAAAGTGCCAATACAATAAAAAATACCACAGAGCAACTGGAAAAGATAAAATGCCTGAAGCAAAACAGATGGGAAAAGAAACAATGCAAGATATTCATGATGTTGTCAGATAGATGAATGACACACCTACAGAAATGAGCAAGAATTAGCATTGTTGAGAAAAGACTGTATAAAAGTTGAAGAAAGTTGAAAAACACAAGGGAGAAACTCAAACTTGA